GGGGGGGGGGGGGGGGTATTAATCGATTAAATAAATTTTCTTTGTCTAAAATCATTTTTTAAAAATTCTTTGACTAAAATATCGGCAAATCTATAATCAAAATTAATAAATCTGCCGTCATATATCAAATCGCAAATTAATCAGCTGATGAAATTAATTATTAGTCAGTATATAATCAATCACATCAAAATTTGATTATTAATTAGTTCTATGAAACGACGAAATTTTGCTTATTTGTGATTTTACATATGACGATTAATTAATCTGAATGTTTTATTTGCTGATTATTTTTCAGTCAAAGAAAATTTGAATCGATTAACGCCCAATACGAATAAGGATGAAATTACACAATTGTATAAGTTATTTTTTTAGAAATTTATATTTTCGGAAAGTGAAATACTTTTGTCGACAGATCAGCGCGGAATGATTCCAATAGGTGTCTCCCGTTAATTTCGTGGATCCGCGAGTCGTTGTTTATCCTTACCTTCAACGATCGCGGGCGCACCGACGGCGCGGTTTCAAGCTGGAGATTGAGCTTTCCTCGAGCGACTACGTGCCCTTTTATAGCCGTCGCGACGCACTTTTAATGGAGCACAATTGTAATTGATATTTACGAGAATTCCGCCGTGGAAGAAAGAAAACATTCCCGGCGAGCGCGTCACGCGACGCGCAGGTACACGCGGAGCTAATTGGCGTCCGCGAAAAATTGTTTAAGCTCCGGCAATTTTACGTCTAATTAGGATGTCTCTGATTGCTTGGCTTTCACGGAAACCCTCTCGCCGCCGCGTAACGTGCGACCTGCTCGACGATCAATCAGACAATATGCCGACGATGTGCGAAGGACGCGACTGCGGATTATTAAGTGGTCGTTTTATACGCAGAAACGAAAACCGAACGTATTTCGATGTGGATAAAAGAATTAGCGAGCGAGCAAGAGAGAGAGAAAGAGAAAGAGAGAGAGAGAGAGAGAGGGAGGGGGGAGGAGGGGAGAAAAAGAGGGAGTTCGAGCAAACGTAACTGACGTCGCCACGACGACGTCAAATGTCAAATGTCTCGCGTTAAATTAAATTCCTCGCCGTGCAGTTTTTTCTTTCTTTCTTTCTTTTTTTTGAACCCGCGAGCGTCCGTGTAAAGGGGTAGTTGGGCGCCGGAATATACTCGGCGTTATATTTAGAGTCGGGGCAGATGAGTGAAGGCTATAGACAAGGTTTCCAGTTACGGACGAGTGTACTGCGAGAACGAGTAATTTTCCGTAAAATTGCGAGAGGCTGCAGTATATCGCGCCGAGGATCGCTCGAAAGTTCCGGTCGGGGAATCTCTCAGATGTATATATTTGAAGCGGGCTAATCACGTAAGAACTTCACCGTTGCGATTTCGTTGCTGCTTACCCGTCGAGACCCGATACGTCCATATTTTCGCCGCTTCCACGGTGTCCCATTTGCGCGGCGTCTCTCAGCGAGAAACGATCGTTCAAACCCTCGACGAAGTGAACCGATACGTTCGCGAGACGTTGGAGCGAAGTGCGCAAGAAGAGCGCATCTTCACATCACGAAACCTCAAATATAAACTTCTTCAATAATGAGCCTCAAAAATTAAAAAATCTTCAACGCTTTCAACAAAATTCAGGCGTCCTCCTAACTTCTGTATCCGATAAATGATATTAATATGTGTCAATACATAACAGTTTATTTAAATTTAGCGTTCAGAATGAGAAAACTTGAGAAAAATAATAACGCAGTCTATTTTGCGACAGAAAATTCTCTGATAATCCAAAGGGAGAATTGTGAGTACAGTGTTTAAATGTGCTTTTTATGGGCATACAATGATTGAGCAGGGGCTAAAAAAGATGATTACATTTGCGATTTTTGTTTATAACTATCCTGCAAAATTAAATAAAATATGTTTGTTTACTTTAAATTCTATATTACTTTAAAACTACAGAAGTAACCTATAAAGGTTTAGATCCCTTTTTCAAATAGTGCAAATTTCTCTCTCTCTCTCTTTCTATTTTTTTCAAAAAAATGTAAACGACTAAAAACCTAAACATTTTCGGAACATCCCCTTTACAGATATTGAGAGAGACGGGGAGTATTAAAAATGAGTACCTCCAATAAGTCAGGGCGTTTTGCAAGACATTGCAGAATCCCGCGGAGAAACGGAAGAGGGTCCCGCGATCTGTCTTCGGAGGCAGCCAGGTACCGCAAGGTCGCGCTAATGACAAATCGATGAGACGCGCGTTGCAGAGTGTGGCTACTTCAGAGTTCCGAGTCGGTGCAATCGTTCTAGTCGAACGATATTCCGTCGAGATGATCGATCAAGCGAGAACGACTTCGCGAAGTGCGTGCGGATGCTTCACGTATGGTTGTTGATAGGCTCGTCTCGAATGCGAAATCCGCTCATGCGATCGATACTTCCATTCATCGGGGCAGACTGCGCGAGCCGCCAGTTGTAAATAACACTCATAAATATCCCCGTGACGCTCGCATTTGTACTTTTATGGACGATTCCACTGGGATTTTTATTGCACACCTCGGCGCGCGCGGCACGCGAATCCACCGCGAAGTTCGCCCCGGCTGATAAGGGAACCTTGGAAACTGTTCCACCTCGTTTCGACGAGCCTCGCAGATTCTGCCGGATAATTCGGACAGCTGAGTAACGAGCGCTTTTACACGCGTATCATCGCGATTCCGGAGGACCGAGGCGAACCTACGAAGCGAAAGATGAAGTACAATTTGCGATTGTCCAGCTCGAGTTTCGCTCGTCACGGTCGATAACAATCCAGATAGCACAGAGAATTCAAAAAGAATTATTAACGAAATTCAAAAAGAATTATTAACGAAATTTGGAGAGTAATTTAACGATGTTTGCCCTAACCGTTTGTTGCCGAAAAAACAAGTTTCCTGATTATACACAGAAAAAATATTTACTTAAAACATACTAAAATTAGCAACCATTGTTTCATGTAGAAGCAACGATAAGTAATTTTGTTAGCGAAAACAATTATTTATTCGATTTAAATAGAAAAGAAGTTATACTTAAGTAAATATGTTATCAATACTTACTAAATAAATATTTACGTTTTAAGTTCGTATTGGTAGTCGTTACTTGAAACTTGTCTCAGATAAGATACTCAGACTTTTATTCAGAATCAGATCCAAGTTCTTCTTGAATTACATTTATACCTGTAGTCGCGGAATTCAACTGAAAAACTTTCATCTAACTGAAATCTGGGTATCTCACTTGAGGTGAGTTTCAAATAATAACTATTAATACGAGCTTTAGATATACTTTCTCTTAGTGTAGAAGTGATCTTGAAGTCGTATGTCATCAATTCTGAGTTCATTTTTAGATGCAAAAAGAATTCTTTTCACTGAAGAATTCTTTTCACAAAAGAATTTTTTTCACTGAAGAATTCTTTTTGCATCTGAAAATGAACTCAGAATTGGTGACATACGACTGAATTCTTTTTGAATTCGTGCTATTTGGGAAAGTTATCGCGACACGTTTTACCGACATTGTGATGTCGATTTCAAGATCACTTCTACACTAAAAGAAAGTATGTCTAAAGCTCGTATTAATAGTTATTACTTGAAACTCATTTCAAGTGAGATACCCAGATTTCAATTTAGTTAAATGAAAGTTTTTCAGTTGAATTCCACGACTACAGATGTAAATGTAATTCAAAAAGAACTTGTATCTGATTTTGAATAAAAGTCTGAGTATCTCATCTGAGACAAGTTTCAAGTAACAATACGAACTTAAAATGTAAATATTTATTTAGTAAGTATTAATAACATATTTACTTAAATCTAAATTCTTTTCTATTTAAATAGAATAAATAATTGTTTTCGCTAACAAAATTACTTATCGTTGCTTATACATGAAACAATGGTTGCTAATAGTATGTTTTAAGTAGATAATTTTAAGTGAATAATTTTTTCTCTGTATAATCAGAAAACTTGCTTTTTCGGCAACAAACGGTTGGGGCAACCATCGTTAAATTACTCTTCGAATTTCGTTATCATAATACCAATTTAATCGACATTATCATCAAGTTTAATTCGTAGTGTTGCGCCCGCGCGCCACGGAAAAATTGCAATCTCAATCGAAGTCGATTAACATCAATCGACACGCGTCAG